CACTCCGAGGCAATCTTTCTCCACTTTTCCATGTAGCCAATTTACGAATCTCTTCAAACCAAGTTTTTATTCAAAATGAAAAATCGAGTCCCACTGAGGCTCAAATTATTTGCATCAAAATTGGCTTTGAAGCCATATTAGTCAATCTACTGATTAAAAGAATTTCATAACTTCTGACGGTTGAACTTAAATAACTATGTCTTTGGCTGGATTCCGTCGGAGACTAGCTGATGATCTTATTTGGCACATTTTAAATAAATTTTCTTTTGATAGATTTGACTTCATCTCAAATGTCTGTACATGTAAAAAAAAGTATTCGATACGCTGCCAGACATTTGATGATGGTATTTAATTGACCATTATCGCTGCTTTTTGTTTAGTGCAAGTGAGGTCGTATAACAGGATCATTCTGAACGTAGTTTATCAAAGTCCGGACTAGATTGCTTGTACATGGGAGTGCTTTTCTAGAGGTCACTTTGCCACTAACTATATCTTTGTCTAAAAACTTCGACGACACGTTAATATCTGGAGGATACAATGATTACATATAGAAGTTTAAGATGAGTTCAAGATTAATTTTGGCATAATTAACAGCCAATGAATTGCACTTATGTTAATCGAAAGTTTAAAGACCTGGATAGTGTGGCCTTTTGTATGGTCGCACTTATGTTTGTTTAGTTCATAAAGAGCGCCTAAGTTCTCCAAAGCAAATAATACAATGCTAATTCTTTAACCTTCCCCTTACATTTCTTTCTTATATGTTCTTACCAATCTTGCCTGCTGCCATTTTACATTACTGCTTTTTACTGTGTAGATTTACCAAACCTCATATTTGTTTTATTACTAGCTCACCTCAGCTTCCACCAAAACTACATCTACTTCCGCCTCACCTGGCTTTCCAAGGCAATCGTCACCCGAAGATGCCTTGACACCAGTCACACCAACTGTTCTCTTTGTTGACCTTAAATCGACTCAGGCCATCTGTTCAGCGATGGCCCAAGAAATGGCTAAGCTTAAGCGGCTAATGATAAAGCCGAGCCCCAATTCTGCGCTACCTGACCATCTTCTAGCCACTAGCCTATGCCATCCGATGGGACATTATTTAAACGAAGAACTTGAGAATAGTGGAGAAAAGATCGGAAAAATGCCCGAACATTCGAAATCTTCCAAACCAGAAAATGTTTTATCTCATTGCAAAGATGATCTGAAAAAACTGGAGGAGGAGTCTAAAGTACGTTCCTTATTTTATTCTACCTTCTCACTTTCGTTATTCCTACTCTTTGGCTTTCAATTTTTTAAATATCATGCTGCTTACTATAATCAAAAATGAATCTCAATCAGTTATAAATTTTCTACTCCCTTTATTATTATTAAGTAAAATTTTTGAATAACCTTGTTCAAATTCATATATAATGTGTATAACACATTACCTGCTTCCACATTTTATATCTCCCAGTTCTATTTAATCCCTTTCTCTGTCGTTAGGTGTTAGGCGCCTGTGAACAGCTGTTCCGCCGTGCACTTGAGGCACCACTTGCGGGCTACAAATGTGCTGCCTCTCTTTGTGACATGGTACGCCGAGAGGGTATCCTAGATGCCCTAGCCCTCAGTCTCATCCATGCACCATTGCTCGATACACCAGCTACTGTTGCTGATACCGAAGACAATGTTGTCAATTTAAGTTATAAGGGAAATGTGAGTTCTTCCCTTCCATCTATCTTATCTGCCTGTGGGATAGATCAAAATGAGGGTGAAACAGAGAACTCTGACAAGCAAACGGTCGAAGCGGCTTGTGCTTATATAAGTCAGAAGAACGGGAGAACATTCGGCTCAGATGATGAAGTAAGTGACCGATAAATAATCATTACTATATTTTTCCTGTTTTGGAAATCATGACGAATACTAATTCTGATACATATTTTAGCCTGTATATTAAGGATTAATCTAGCTTCATGCTTTTTTACAATTTTTATCTTATATAACAAACTAGTCTATTTTACCTTACATTACGGATACTTAATCTTTATAG